GAGCCGTAGTTTCTATTTCTTGACTGTATCTTGAATGATAGAGTTGGTCTACAAAAATTAGAAATTATATTTGTATAAAGTTACTTTTTATCAAGCAAGCAGCACTTTCTCTCAAAAACTTTATAATATTTATAAAAGCTATAAGAGAGTATGTTCAGAGCCATTTAAAAGGCAAAGGCCAAGTTTGGGTAATAGTCACTAGAAGTTACCTAGTGTTCTATTATTTAGTATTTCTAATTGTTCTATATCCTGTAGGAACTTCAGGACCTAGAGCTCTCTGTGGTTATTAAATTTATAAAGAGTTCTTACAAATCAATACAATACTAAGTATCCAATAGAAAAATGGGTAAGGAACATGAAAAAGCAATTTATAGAAAAAGAATTACAACTGACCATTAAGTATATAAATAAATGTTAATTTTTTACCTAATGATGAAGGTATTGCTAACTTAAACTCCGAGATATTACTTTCACCATAAAATTGGAAAACTAATAAAAAAATAATATTCAACTGTTGCTGAGGGTTCAGGGAAATGGGTACTCTTACATACTACCAGGTAAGATTTTAAGTAGTATGAAAATTTTCAAGACAGCTTAAATAACAGTATCAAACGCCCTAAAAACATGCATTCTCTTTGATCAAGCAATTCTACTTATAGGAATTTATCCTAAAGAAATAGCGGATAATGTAAATGATTTAAGCATAAGAATATTCACCACCAATGGTAATTCTAGAATATCTCTTTAGGAAAGAATTAGGTAAAACTCTAATTGGAAGAAGGGTAAACCTAAATCTCTGCTGCCATACTAGCATGCCATGACAACATAAACTGTCCATAGCAAAGACAGAAGTGCTCTGCAGAGATCAAGGGGACAGTTCAACCCATCCTGTGGCACCACACTTGTTCAATAAATCATCATTTACAATATTAATTGTAAAGTGGAAACTACTGTTCTATATTATAGGCTTGGCTAAATACATTTTGATCCTTCTAAAAAGCAGAATTACCTATTTAAATATGCAGCTAAATATTTACAAGTATGGAAAGATGTTCATGCTGTATTAAGCAAGAAAAAGATTATAAAATTGTATGTATCACATAATCCCATTTGAAATATATATTTGCAAAAAAATATTTGAAATAAAAGACAATACGATATGTTAACATTAATAGAAGCTATCTCTGGGTTACATAAGTTTTTCACTTCCTCTTTTATTTGTATTTTATTTTTGCTCATCTAATTTCTATTTTTTTCTACACTGAACAGGTATTGCTTCTGTAATAAGAAAAAGATGAATAAAATTGCTAAAACAGGCAAGAACCCAGTTACTTGAGAATGTGTACTCTTTTTAAAAGACAGTTTGTCTTCAACTGCATCTATGATGTTTTTCTCACATATACCAGAGGACTTTACACAATGATTAATTGAATACTAAATGTGTTAGAAACCAGAACACCTATCCTGTTTCCTCTAGAGTCCAAATCCCCAAACCATGAAGACTGCTCCCTACTGCATTTTAAAAGGGAAATTGGATTTCTTAACTTTCAGAGAATTGGAAACTTTTCATTTCCACCACCGAGGGCAAATGGAAATATGGCAGTATATTTAAAAGTTCAATTCAGGACAAGTCATATTCAGAAAAGACGTGTGTTTGAGAACTGCTTTCAAAACTAAACTCTTTGCACTCTTGATTCTTGCTTTGATTATGATCAGGGCCATAATTTAACTCAAACTAACTTGCTGTATTTCAATCTATGGTTCATCTGATCCATTTACTTTTCTCTCAAGAGGCAGAGCTGGGATTAGTTAGTAATGAATACAGAGAGTGTTTTGAAAAGGAAATGAGACACTACCATTTTCTATTACCGTTATTATGTTTCTTAAAAGTGCCAGGATCTAAGCACAAACCTTCGGTTTTAGAGGTGAAATTACCGCTACCAATAAGCCTGGCTTCTATGGTATGTAAATTGAATACAAACTAATTTAAGACTAGCAATGCAGCTCAGAAGGAAAAGGAGATAGCAAATTATCCTGCTGAACTGACAACTGCAGACTCAATTAAAAAAAATAACTATCAGATACTTGGCTTAATCAGATCATCTACAGCAACTAAGTGAATCAGATAATTTAGATTGTACAGCTTGAGTTCAAGTCTCCATAAAATGGTCAGGTCTGCCTAAGAGGAAGCAGAATCCATTACTTCAGGGACACTAGGAGGTTGTGTGTTCAAATGTCAAGAATTTATACTACATACAACACAACATAGTATAACCATAAATTCAAACCTGCCAAATAACATCTGCAGTAAGAAAACTTCTGAATTGCATTAAAAGCTTCCTTTCTTACCTTCCAAGAAGCACAGGGCTCCATGCCTATTACAGACTACATAGTTTCAAATATTTCTAACTAAAAATTAGTAATACAGTGCCCTCTGAAACCACAATTCTGGCTGCCTGGTCCAGAATCAAAATGAGTTATTTCGTGAAATGCAGTTTAAATGGGTGATTTGATTACTGCCGTGGGCAGAGGGGATTTGAGAACGCCCTGCTGGCATTCTTTGATCTGGCATCCTGAGGAATAACAATTTTTACTTTAAGTTGTGTGTCTCTTTCAGTGTTATTTCCTTAGTCAGTAATAAATCAACCAAGTCACCAAGTTCAAACAGATGAACAGATGAAGGTCCCCACTGACCAGTCAGGGCCAGATAGAGCCGCAAGGTTTTCTTTCTTTTTCTTTCTTCTTCTTCTTCTTCTTTTTTTTGCTCAAATCATTTCTTCCTTTTAGTCTTTACCAAAAAAAAAAAAAAAAAATCTGTTTAACCTGAAGTGTTTTCTGTCAGTGGCTATTTTCACCCCATCTCACGACTGGGGTTTTAAGATTATCTAGGTATCTTTTCCACATTATTATTTTTATTAAAAAAAACCCGATTTCTCATTTCTTCCTATTTATCTCAGGAATCCAGAGATCAAGCCAACTTCTGAAAAAACGTTTTGCTTTTAGCGGTCTAGGCAAAGTCAGAGCAGAGGCAGGGGAGTGGCGGGGCAGATACGGTAAGGCTGCGTCTTTCTCGGGCGAACATCGCCCCTGCGTGGAAGGGGACAAGGTTCAGAGCCGCGGGGGTCAGAACCATCTTCGCGCAGCACCTGATTTCACCCTACACCAGACACTACATGTTAGAGGTCCAGGGTTGCATAACAAGTTTTCAAGTATACCCCAAGTCTCTGCATGGACTGAAAACAATTTGCATCCCCCCCGAACTATTGTTTAAGACAACTGGTCTCTTCATTGGATAAACGAATTTGGGGAAAATTCTCGACTGTAATCATCGCTTCCAATCACAGTACGCTGTGAGTCGGCCCCACAGGAACAGAGAGCGGGCCGGACGAGGGCCCCCGGAGCTCCGGGCGGAGCAGCACGCGCCCAGCTGGCCCCCGAGGTCTCCCGGCGCCCGGCCCGAGCCACTTACCCTGGGGGGTGGCCTGGGCGCCGGCCCCCAGCCACGGCTGCAGGGCCAGGTGCAGCAGGAGCAAGGCGGCTCCGCGCGGGGCCAGCATCTCGGCTCTTCCTGCTCCCCGAGGGGCGGGCGGGTGACGGCGGCGTCGGCCCTGCCTGGGTGTCCCGGGGCAGCGCGCTGTGCCTCTGTCCGGCGCGGTGGCGGCGCAGGTGGCGGGCGCGCGGCGTCCGGGCTGCCGTCGAGGGGGCGCTGGCGTGCCGGCCGGGCGCAGGCAGGGGCGGCGGGCGGCTGAGCTCCGCGGCCGCGGCCGGGCGCTTTATGGTCCGCCCGGCCGGGGGTGGGACGGGGAAGGACGGAGGCCGGGGCGGCCCCCTTGGCTGGGGTCCCTGTTGCGGGGAAGAGCGGGGACGGCCGCGTCAGGGAGCGTGGGCCGCGGAGAGAAGGACGCGGGTGTGGGGACGGGAGGGAGCCTGGACGGAGCAGGGCCTGGGGTGGGCGTGGACCCGGCCCCGACCGGCGCGAGGGGTTAGATGGGTGGGAAGGAGGAGGCCGCGCGGTAGAGGCTGCGGAGAAGGGCGGGCGGTGCGCTCGCAGGACGCGGGCAGATGCGGAGCGAGGGGACCAGCGGGAGGAAGGCAGCGAGGCTGACCTGCCAGCTCTGGGTACCTTCAGCCCCCTCGGCCCGTCCTCTTTTTGTTTTCTAGAAAGATAGAGCATCTAGTGGCTTTTATTGTCCATCTTGGGTTCCCTTTCCGAACGAATCCTCTCCAGGAAGGTTCTGCCTCCTTAAGTGGTTCGGAGAGCAATTGATTTATTTCTTCAAGCTTTTCGTGACAACTTGAAATGTTGAAATTTTTTTTTTCTATCAAGTTTTTGATACATGAACGTGAACATTGGAAAGTTTTTGTGTTTTTAATGGAAATAAAACACACTTCAAGGAGTCCATCCAAACAGAGCCATTGGTAGGTTGGTGGGTATGTATGTGGCTTTATGGGAATTTCTTCTCCGTCCAGTTTCCAAGTACCCCGCCTGCCCACCTCTGTTCCACTCTCTTAAAAGATTCCGTGTGATGGTTTCAAGACATATGTAGGGGCAGGACTTGAAAGAGAGGAAAGGAACTTAAGTAATTAGTCTTCCACGTGGGCAAAGCTCCCTAAGAATAAAGACTAACTGGAAGAAAACATTTGATAAACAACAGTGGCAAAACTTACCCTCTGCGATGATTTCAGCTGATGGAGAGGATACAGCAACCTCTTGCTCTCCATCTCTCCCCTGTCTCAAAGAGTTGCATTTCAAAGTTTAAGAAGCTACCTGCCACAACTGGGGGACTCATGAGCCATCTTATTCTCAGACTGCCCTTAGAATCACCTGTCTGCAATTAGGATTTACTGACCTGAAGATTTATCATCTATCTTCAGAGCTCTCTCCTACTTGAGGTCGAACACAGCTTCCTTTAATGCTACCATTGAACTAAAGTCACTGTGTGGAATGGGGCACTGCATATCTACATATGAGAAGCACAAAGAAACATGAAGGGGGTATCACAGGTTTCTACCACTGTGACTGTAAACTAATGAGATGGACCAGACTTGGGAATCTTTAAGTCCCCCAACTGTGTTCCCAGGAGCATCCTGGGATGAAGAGGGATCCAGGACCCCAACCTGTTCAAGCAGAACAGCCTTGCTTTTATATGTTTTGTACAGTGGACTTCGGAGCATTTTTTTTTTTTTAATGTGAAGAGAACATTTGGAAGCTCACAATTTTGAAAGTCACTATTCAGTGGCACTCACATGATTGGGTACATCAGAATCTCCTGGGAGCTTAAAATAAAAAGACACAAATTAGGTGCCTACAGGGAACAAATGAAACCAAAAGGAACAATTTGCACAGTAAATTGCACCATAACCTATTCTGACACATGAAATAGGACTCCACCCTACCAATTTCCAAGTACGGTGCCTAGAACTTGATAATGAATAGATTGTTGAATTGACTTTCCTTCTCTTAATACTGGAAACTAGGCTAGGAGTTCTGATATGCTGGTGATTCATTCATAGGTGCAGTAGGCTGCAAAAATGGTTCTAACTCATTACTCTTTTGTATATGCATCTTTAGCCTTCCCATGGCTTGGCTATGTAGCTTGCTTGGCTAATAGGATTTTAGCAAAAGTGCTACAAGCAGAGGCTTAAAAAGTGCTGTGTGACGGGGCTTGCTCACTCTTGCACTCGCCCTTTGCCCTGCTGCACACCTGTGCTTGCCTGTTGACAAAGGCATGGAGCGGAGCACAGTTGCCTAGGCAACGGCAGTCAAGATCAGCTGATGGCTGACTCAGGTAAGTAAGTTCAGGCAAGATCAGCAGAGCTGTCTAGTTGACTCCAGATGAGTAAGCAACAAACATCTATTTTTGTATACCATTGAGGTTTGGAGATGTTTCTTATATAACACCATCAGTGTCATAGATAACTGATCTACTAAATTTCCTGCCTTTCCTAATTCTTGTATGAAGTCTATCTCCATTTTTGCTGTTTGACTGCTGACAGCTTTCAAGCCCCACTACTGCCCTTCCTCTCAGCCCCACATCTGGGCAAACTTACATGAAAGCCCAGGTGTTCCTTCCTTTGGTGCTTGCAGGAAATCCCAGTGGTGCACAGGAACCCTCCTCACCACTGCCCCACCCACTAACCCCCATAAAGATTCCCCAACCATCCTCCTTTGCCTGCTTTCCCAAGCTACAGGGTGGCCATAAAGTTCCCTGGGAGAACTCATATTATGCACTGCTATTTGCACAGCTGAGTAGAAGTTTTTTTTTTTTTTTTATTAAATCATAGCTCTGTACATTAATGCAGTCGTGGGGTACAGTGTGCTGGTTCTATATACAATCTGAAATATTTTCCTCAAACTGGTTAACATAGCCTTCATATGAGTAGAAGTTTTATACATATTTTTAAATTGATATATATAAAATTACCATTAGTTATGTCAGGTTTCCATTTTCATTCTTGAAGGAAATAGAAATGGAATATACTTACTAGCATTAAAAGATGGATTACATTCTACCGTGTGATGAAATTTACACCATAGCATTTGGAAATATTTGTATTAATACTTTGTACCCCTGTTTAGTTTATTGTTAATAACAAAGGAGGATGCTTAGGTGACAGGAAAATAACTCTTCTGATAATGACTTAGCACAAATAAAGATGAAGTAAATGAACCAGGAGCCTTTTCACTGGTGGGCAATTCAAAGTAGGGAAAAGATTTTTTTTTTTTTTAGAATTTAGAAAATGTTTTGCTTTAGCAATTAGGCACTGAAAATTTGTGAAGGAAGAAGAGTGTGAAATCACTCATTTTCAGTCTCACTAAGGGTCTCAGTAGACTGTATAAAAAATCTCATTAATTTCTTTATATACTTCACTAAATAATGTGTAAAACTCCTTAGAAAAATATCCATAAATGCAATTACGAGGACTTTGTTACAATTAATAACTGTTAATAACTGTGTGTACTAAACTTGAAGTCCAGAGAGAGTTTTGACAACTAGAATCTCTTAAAGTAATTGCTCACCTTCTGGTTCCAAAAAACAAAACAAAACATGGTGGTTCCTACAATGGCCAATGAAAATAATGATTGTTGTGCCAGGAAAATCCCAAACTTAGTGCCAGATGTCAAAATGTATTTGCTAAGAAAATATGATGCAGAGTGCAATGAAATGATAGGACATAAAACAAACTTGCAAAATACACTAAAATTACATCAATTTGGATGTAAAGAATTTAGAGTTTGGGCTAATTTGATTTGATGTGGATTGAGGTTCTTCTGCAGAGATAAAAAGGTTTATAAGCAGATGGAGAGTATTATTTGCATTCTTGGGGGCATGTTTAACCCAACTAAAAGAACTAATACATGAAGGATTTTAGTAGTTAGCGTTCAACAGGAAAATTGGTGCTGTTAATTACAAATGGCCTCTAACTAGTTTGGAAAGGACTAGATAACTATTGTTCTTTCCAAATCTGAATTCTAAAATTATGTAGTTTTTGCTATCTAGTCATTGAAAAAAGTGTTATGTTAGAACATTTTCCTACCAGACACCAAATCTCAATTAGATTTTCTTCACATTAATGTAATCAGTTATTCAACATATAAGTTTTATGTCCATTCATGAGTTCTCTCAACAAATATTTATTGACAGTCCTCTAGAATGTGCCCAGCACTGTGTTAGATGAGGGGCAGGTATAGATGGATGAAGCACACAGTTCCTGCCCTCCAACTCATCATCTACTCAGACAAATAGATGATATAAACAATATGGTAGGGGCTACAATGGAGATGTGTCCTAAGAAGTAAGAAAGTAACTTGTAGCTAGAGTGAATTAGAAAAGGCTTCCTAGAAGAGCCGGCTTTTCATCTGGGTCATGAGGGATGAGGAGCCATTCTCCAGATGATAAAGTAAGGGAAGAGCATTGCAAGTAGAGGCAATGCGTGTTATATGCAAGGCCATGTAGAGAAATGCCAAGATGTCTGGAGTTCTGACCTGGGCAACTTGATGGATTGTGTTGTCATGCACTGAGGTGAAAGGGGTAGGTGGTGATTGGTTAGCAGCGCTGAGTTTAAGGCCTCTTGAAGACATCCACAGGGAACTGTCCATTAAGTATTAGTTATTATACATGGGCCTGTAACTCAGGAGGGAAGTTTACAGATGTGGGCATCTTTAATCGATAGGTAGTAAAGAAAGCTGTCAATATAGATGAGTAAAATGAGAAAACAAGAGGTCCCATAGGAACACTGGTAATGGCCAGCATTAAGAGACCAGTAGAAGGAGCCAGCAATAAAGACTGAAGCATATCAAAGAAAATATGAAAGGTATGATGTCAGGGAGGCCTGGTGAATAGTAACAAATGCTGTGGAGAGGTCAGACCAGATAAGGTCTGAAAACTATGCAGACCTTTATCAACATGGAAATCACTGGAGACTGTGTTGAAAGCATTTTGATGGAGCTGTGCGCGTGAAAGAAAAGCAGGATATTGCCATGTGAGGAGTGAGGACAACAGAATAGGAAGCCGAAATAATAAGGGTAGATAACTTTTTAAGAAGCTTGCCTGTGAAGCAGGAAGCGGATATAGGGAAGTAACTGTGGGGAGATAATACAAATGTATTTTGATTTAGGTGGAATAGAGCAGCCAGGGAGAGAGTACTGTGACATTCCTTAATTAAGGGACACTAAAAGTATAACTAGCAGTGGTTTAGGATATTTGATACCTTATGTTTTCTTATAATGGTGTTTCATTTTTATGTGTCATATCATGCTTAACAATGTAAGCTTCACAAGAATGGTGTCTGTG